TGAGGGGGGCTCGTGGTGTACTTTGGGGGCTCCGTGGGTCATTTTGGTCAAAAATGTCGCATTTCACCCAATTACCAAAAACTCGTCGGATATCGACGAAGCTCGACGCCGCGGTCACGCCCAAAGTTGTTTCACTTTCCAAATCGTTTTTTTTCGAAAGATATCGCGAAAAACAAGATTGTGAATATTTGCCCGAACGGACCATAGAAAATTGCCAAATAATGACGGAGACCCAAGTAAAAATGACCCACTTATGTCGGATACGAGTTCATCACAAGAATTGCACGGATGAAATCCACAAGGCACATGTGTCTGTAGTGCCAAGACATTGGTAATTCCTCGCGGGGCGAACGGGAGCAACCACATCAAAACAACAAAAATACACTCAAACTGGAGTACAGCACCACCACCACGCCGTCAACTTGATTGATGCGTACCTCCCCGCCCTTGAGCTGCGGAGGCTTCCCATCGAAAATGTAGCAGGGCTTCACGCCCTTGGAGAGCATCCGAATCGTCCGATTGAACATGCCTTGGATGTGAGACGTCACCTCGCCGGCCTCGTTGGTGAGCATCTGCGACTGGCCTTCTCCTCCGGAACGAACGGCGATCTTTTGCAAACAGCAGCCACCAGGTTGATTTGTATGCAAAAAATAAACGCCGGCGCGCGCGGACACGGACAAAATTCAAATTCGAAAATCTACGGGTAGACATACAGCAGATCATAGCACAGCATATCGCCTTTATGTTGTCTAACAAACGAGGAGGGCATTGGAAAAGCATTCCACAACCCACGGAACTCCCAACATTGGGAAGAACAACACCCACGTATTGATGCCTTACCAAGAACTGGTACATGGCCATAGAGGCATCGACCGCCACTTTGCGGCCTGTCAGGGAGTCAAGGTCGACCTCCTTCATGCAGTTTGGTGCTTCGTCCGACAAGAGCTTTGTCAATCCATGAATCCCCATGCTTTCTCTCGTTCCCTCGGCGCCCTCTTCGGCAAATCTATATCTCTGGGTGTACACGGTGAGAGAGAGAGGCACGTCGTACACGCTACGTGGATGTCGGGCTTTGGGGGTGGTCATCAACTCGACGAACATCAAACTAATTCGAGGGGGGTTCCGCCGTTGGCATCAAAATACGGGGTGTATAAAATGTGAAGGTGAGGCGCCCTCACACAGCGACAACACACAGCTCATTCCGCATCACCCAGCGGGCAAGACGGAGACAGAGGCAGAGGTAGCGATGAACTTTAGCAAGATTGGAATTCAAGGCTACAGTCTTGGAAACCTGCAGCTGACTGCTGACGAGCTAACCTGGACATCGCCCGACAAATCAAGGCAAGACAACATACATACTCAGGAGGGAGAGAGGAGAAAGAGAGCACAAAATGTTCGGCCTTCTACGTCAAACAGACGTCCTGTGAGACGGGTTACTGAGTATCGCACTAAAAAATAGCAATGAATGCAGCCTAATCGCCGTTCCCACCGAAAACGAAACGTAACCTGCACTTGGTGTGACCCATCTCAAAGAACCGCCGCATTCGACGATGAACTGCTGCAAATACGAAATACACCCATCTCTTCGGCGCGATCGCATGTCGTTTTAGCTGCACGTCCTCTCTCGTTATCCCTACAGCATAATCCGGTGCATTGGTTTTCCAACACAAGTATTTCTTCCTTGTACGACGGGGTGCATCGCCTGGATCTTGTTAGAACTACTGCTGTGCACAAGTGGCAAGATTAGCAGTAATACGAATACCACCCACCTGAAAATTCAAAATCTATGTAAACCTTAACCTTATACCGGACCAGATACGAAAAGTTTATAGTTTACGATGCCCACCTATATCTGAATGTCTGCCACGATTTTCATTATATCAATCGGAGGAGGTCTCTGTCTAGCGCCGGGTGAATGATGCCAATGCCCGGTATGGTGCCGGTGCTTTCGGCGGGCACACTCTGAATTTCCAAGTCATTGTCAGCACAGTCGACCCCGCTTTAAGGACGCTCGCGTTAAGGAAACCCCCCGCTTAAAGGAAACTTGTATTGCTGAGCACCGGGGGCCCGGTAGAATATACGATAATGGGGTACCCACATATTTTCTGCCGCGTGCCTCATTTTCTTTGTGACCTGTGGGCCTGCGGGCCGCCCTTTGCACGAACCACGCACCACGGTGAGTGCAAAAGTAGCGACGCACAGACAGCAGAAGTAGCGAGCGGTCTGGTGCTGCAGCTGCAACTGGGTGTTGGTGTGGATAGATTCCTCCCATCTACCGGCAGTCCATCTGATGCCTCCAAAAAAAGAGTCGTGCATAACCTCATCCCTCACCGAGGGCGAGGTTACCTCTCGCTTGGAGGACGTTCGATCCTACAGATAGCGCCCGCAGTTAAGAAACGTCAAAATTGGTTGGAGCCTCACCAATCCGTTCTTTTGGGTCGAAGTACCGGCCCCAAGTCGTCCATTTCATAAATGGCATTTGTTCTTCCTTTGGACTGTCGCATCCTCCCGATTATCTAAATCTTTAGACTACAGCAAGTACTTCGTATTTTATTAATTCTGGTTGTCCACATCATCAAGCCCTCAAGAGAGGTGGTGGAGAGTGCCATCAAACCCGTTCAACAGCGGAGTGCATATGGTTGTCCGCGATGTGTGGCAGTACTACAGTACAGCACTCACTGTGAACAGCAGGGGCGCTGGGGGGCGGGGGGGGGGAGGACTCTGTCCCCTACAAAATCTGCACTTCTGTTCAGCTTGGGAGGGAATGGGAACACCGCAGATTTCTGATGTCATGGGGGTATCGCACCATCACGTTTCTTATTGGGGCGTTTCTTACGTCGTGGCCGAGATTCAGCTATGTTTCTTAAGATCTTCTTTCTTATTTTTCGTACAAACTTGAGCCTTTTATCTTAACAGATTTTTTCTTAACTGCGGGCGCTATCTGTATTTGTACGCCAAGGGAAGGGGTGGCGAGTACCGTGAGACGCAGTACCTTCTTTCGAAGACCGTTCATTCGTTTTCTCATGAAACTCAACAGAGCCGTAGAGCCAAGCCGCGGGGGGACAACTCTTCGCGGTGTGTGGAAGGCAAAGCCATCAGGGTAGCTTTTGGTCTCCGCCGGGACAGTGATATATACTGTTCCTCGGTGCGACACTGAAATACCCTCGTTTTTGTATCACAAGAACGAGATAAATATATGTCTACTTGGACTTTCCTCCTTCTTCCGTTGCCGCCTATGCAGTACATTAGTTGGCCAAGTACAAACTGGTGTACTGTAGTTGTTTTCAACACGTCCCCGACTGCTGTACATCTCATTTCAAGTATTGTAAATATGTTCGACATCAACAAACGGTTGCCGGTCGTCTCGGCGATACTGACTTTTCGTACCACCCTTCCTTAGCAAAAGACGCGTAGTTTGAGGTATAGCATGCCTCCATTGTCCCCGGGGATGGTTTGCTATCGTCCCCTGAATTTTGAGGACGCAACCCCGCTTCAAGGACGCTTTTTTTCGGGAAAGACCATGTGCGTCCTTAAAGCGAGGTCGACTGTACTTTGAATAGTGCCGGTCCGGTATAGTTCCGGTGAACTTTCTGGGCACACAGCGGCTCTAAACAGGGATCCCCTCTAGTTTGAAATGGCTTGCATTGCAATCCGAAAGTATATTATATCTGCGTATAATACCAACACTTCAGTGCATTGCAATATAATATTTTCGCATCTTATTTTGCCCAACTTTTGAATAGGATGCGTAGTACGTCGTACTGGGATAATACACGATGACACTCGTTCATTTTTGACAAATAGACCGCCCGGCGGTATAAAGCCACCAAGGCACCAAGGCGAGTACCATATACAACCGAGAGCATGTTTTTCTTAGCCTTATTCCGCCTCGCGCCTTCAGGAAGCCCCCTCTGCCCCATCTCCCCATGTACTCTCCACAACCGTTGGTATGTTTATGTTTGCACTCATTGGCCTCTTTTCTCTCCACCTATCGGGTTGTTCAGCTCGAAGAAGGTGAAATGGATCGACGTTTCTCATGCGACGTGGGCGCAATATGCGGCGTACTGTCATCTCCGACTGTTCATGAAAGGCGACGCCCGGCCGGTGCGGCTTGATGGTTTCAGCAAAGCGCAGCACGCAGGTGCGAACTTTTGCAGTTTCGTCTGCAGCGTTGCTTGCTGCGTGCACCCCTGTTTCGATATCATCGGTACATGTACCTTGCCAGATTTGCTACGGTTGTCCCGCCGACATGGATGTCTAGACTAGACTTTCCGAGATGGAAGACGATGAATCAGAGTAGCCTATTTCGAAGGCCGAGAGTGCCTTCTCTTCCTACGCACGAACTTTGCTACGACGAATCGCATATATTGTCTGGCACCACCGCAATGTTTTGATTTCGTGGACAGATATCGAGAAATTTCTCTCCGAGCGGAATGTGAGCCTTTCGAACGAATCGCCGAATCCTGGAGGCGGCAATTATGGAGACATCGAGGTTCTTGACAATATCGTGCGCTTCAGCTCAGGAAACAAGTGCGTGAAATTCGAACCGGCTGAACAGCAGCAGTGAGGTTTCTTGGCACCAGTTTGTGGTTCGTGACCTTACTGTCACACCTCACGAGGTCCAGCAATAACGTTGTAGCAGTCAGTGCTATGTCGAGAGGCACGTCTATTGTTTCACATGCGTGCACAGTCTGGAAGACGTGACCAGGTCAGTCGACTCTGTTGGTCGGGGTGCGATCGTGCGAATTCATGCACCATTCTTGTTCGTCGCCTTCACCGTATACCATCAGTGCTGTGCGAACTCATTCCTATACTGGACATCTTATGAGGGAAAAATGTAAACCGGCTGCAATGTGTGCCAGAGCCATTTCGGGAAGCTGTTGATTTTCTCCAATCCAGAAAAGATCAGTTTGAATCGGGCAAGCACCACACACCTCAAGAGACAATGCGTTGCCTTATATTACATCGTTGTGTAGCCGCAAGCCTGAGAGCAGAACAATATGATGAGGTATGTGAGCATTAGTTGGATCAAAACAGCACCAGTTGCGCGTCTCGAACGTCACTGGCACTGCTGAGTACTGTTTGCATGAACATCTGTTGTGCGGTACCAGGTACACCAAGAAGTTTTCCCTCACATGCATTTAGTTTTTGAATGTAGGTCTAGCGTGGGGCTGCCTCTACGTGGTGCTGCACGCGAATTCCTTTCAACATATCATAAACTATCCCTAGCTTGCGGATGTTTCGAATTCGCAGTCTTTATGTAAATTTCGAAACAGATCCAATTCTCTCTTCACAGGACCTTGTTTGACCTGAACATCAAAGACGTCAGTCAATGCGTCATGCCGGGAGTCAAGAAGAGCAACGACGTGGAGTTACAACTACACGAGAGCGACGCCACGGACCAGACAGAGGTAGGTCACGGTAAGGTGCAACGCTGTACTTCGGGGTGGACATTCCGGATCGCCCAGAGTAAACTCGTGACAACTACTGGCTATAACCTTCTTGGTTGTATACTCTTGCGGTTGCTTTATCTAGCCGGCCAGATCCAGTGAAGTGTCTTGCCGAAGTATGACTGACGTATAATGTTTGTGGAGTGATACTCGTTACTGCTGCATCGTTATGTTGTGCCATAGGATACATTGGTGGCCATTCGCGTCACGCTGCCAGAGAAGGATGAGGACACGGATGAGCGTTCGCCGGCAGAGAGCCTGCAGATGGCGGTAAGCATGCCTGTTTAGATGTTTTTTTCAAAGAAATGAATTTTGGTTTCCACCGGTTGCTCGCAGTAGCACCGCTCGCAACGATGAGACATCGCATCTGGACGTAGCAGGCTCTCCTTGTTCGCTGTTTGCGATACATTATGTACTCCGTGGTTATAGTCTGGGCTAGTCGCGTAGGGGATTCTTTGAGATATTCCCCTTCCCATCCATGGTACGAGTAGGTGGAACACAGCAGCTCACCAACCGTGGTGCTACGAACTTCTGTGGTGCTAGAATACAAACTTTTACGCGGCTCGCTGGAATGCACGACCCGGTTTGTACCACGACACTTTGTTGCTGCTCCTGCACAGTTTGTGTTTATTCCTGTTGGCGTTGAGAGTACCGTATATGACACAAGATAGCACATCCGCTGGACCGATTTTCAGGGCTCGATTTATCAAAAGCAGGGAAAGTCGCCGCGCTGAAAATGGCGACGTCGAAGCCGTCTGGTCGAGAACTCTCCGGAAACGTATCGTTTCGGTTATGTATCCTCTTCGTGGTGTAGTCGAGCTTTGAAAATCAGTCATGGGGGGATGTTGTGTCGTCGCATACAGTAGACGCGGACTCACTGCCAAATTGCCCGTGGGTGGGTACAGCCCGTGAATGTCTGATGCTTGTCCTGCCCGAGTGACGCGGCGAGAGTATTTACCGTTGCACGTTACAAATACCCAAAACCTCGTGCAGGTGATGGAGCGGGCTAATATTCACGATGTCAAGGGGAAAGTACTGGTCGAGTTCAACGAGAGCCAAGGCACCTTCGACTTCCCGAGAGGACGCTACTCAGTCGAAATGTATAGCCACTTCATGCGTATGCATGGCTCCAGGTAAGATCGTATTGCATCCGTTTCTTTGACGCGTTCTAAACCAAGTCGACCGTTTTAGGAGTTTGTCGGCACTTCATTATTCCTTGAATCGAGAGTCGATTTGGCGCTCCTTGTGCCTCACACATATGGCCCCTCGAATGAGTTCTGATAATTTGCGAGACGTGGCAATTTTTGTTCTTATTCCCCCTCCCCTATCCCCCCGGTATTTACCATCGGGGTTGGGTTTTCGTCGCTTGGCAACGACGTTGTAAAACAAGCCGCCCCTCCCGGTGTTTGCCATCGGGGTTGGGTTTTCGTCGCTTGGCAACGACGTTGTAAAACAAGCCGCC